CATCTGCTATCATTTTCTTTTTCTATTAATATTTTCCAGATGTAGTGGCCTAATTTCACTTCCCAGAACACATCAAGATTATTTCTACCTCAGGGCCTCTGCTTTTGCTGTTTCCATAGCTTGGAAGAAATTTCTCTCATATTCTGTGCAGTTGAAACTTTCACAGTAGTTGGGTCATATGGTCCCTCTTAAAATCTGTCTCCCCTGACCTGGTCTGTCTCTATCAGAATCCTATTTTCTTTTCTTCATAGCACTTATTACATGGAATGATTAAAATTTTGCTTCTCTGTTTTCCCCGTGGGAATGTAAGTTCCATGAAAAACGGGGATTATATTTTTCATCCCCAAATAAGACTAAAAAATGCATGGTGCAGGGTAGATACTCAGAAATTATTTGGTGAGTGAATTCTGAATAAATATGTAAAGTGGGGTAATAATATCTTGCTGAAAGTTTGTGAATAGATTTGAAAATCTTTCTATGTCCTTTCCATTTCTAAGGATTCTATGACTCCTTGAACAGCAATTCTGAATCCCAGAACAATTTTAACGAAATGCAGTTAGAAAAATCTTCAAATACTCAACATACAATAATTCTTATTTACCAAATTGAGGCACTTTGGATATCTGCTTTAACGGAAAAAAAAAAGGACTTGTAATGTGCATGTGGAACATTTGTATGTAAAGGGACCCTTTTAAATATTTAACAATTGTGTTGCATTTCGATTTTCTTGGCAAACCTATTTACAGTTGGCTTTGCGCGTCCTTTCCTCATGGATGTGGATAAGGAAGATGACTCCACAGCATAGCCCATCTGCTTAAAGAAATGGCTCAGGTCAGCCCTCCGCTGTCCTTGAGCTCAGGGAGTTACTCATTGCCCTGTGCTCTGCGCAGGTCACGCTACTTCCAGGGCTGTGCTGTAAGAGGGACACTGACACTGTGCAAACTGGATCACATCCTGGGGAAGGGGCTGAAAACCATGTTAGTAGAAGGAAGTGGGAAGGTCTAACTGAAAGGGGAGGGGACTGTGAAGGATGATGGTTGCCAAGTATTTGAAGGCTTTTCAGGAAAAGACAGATCTGTGCTGCCTGTGTCATGGGACATATTGAGAACTGATGAATAGAAACTACTGGGAAGCAGACTTTGGTTGAATAAGCGGAGAGAATTTCTGATGGTCTGCACTTGCGTATCAGCAAGGGCCTGCTTGGGAACAGAAGGAGCAGGTGCCATTACTGGATATTTTCATTTTGGTCAGGCAAGCCACTAGTCAGCAAGGTCCGAGAAGGAGTCCTCGTTCTGTGGGTGGGCAGCAGGCACCCTTCCAGCCAGCTCTCATGGGAATCTTTGCACACATTTCACGCTGGCTAGCAGGGCCGAACAGTATGTGATTTGCATCACACAGTGTTCTTTCCAAATATTTAATGTATGGAGTATGATGAGTCTGCTGTTAATAATGACTTAAGCCCAGAAAACTTTGAATTTCAGAAGTTAAGCTAGAATCTTGTAGATCCACGGTTTTATATTCTGACCTAGAAGCAAGTTGCTGGCTTTTTCCTACCTAAGAGATTTCCTATCTGTTAGGCGAAAGCAAGCTACTACTCTTGGTGAACAATAGTTTGTGTTCCCAGAATAACCCTGGGTTTAGGGATAGACAATAAGGCTGGGGAGTTTAAGGGTTGAATTAGATCACCTTTTAGTTTGCAGCCTAAGAAGTATGTGTTATTTTCCCCCTATCCCTCCCGGCAGAGAGGGCTGGAAGCTCCGGGCAGAAGCTGACCCTCTTCAGCCGCAGCCCCAGTGAGACTCCCCTTTTCTCCTTCCCTTCCTTTGCCTTTCATTAGAATCCCTGGGAGCCTCTGCATGCTTAGCATGAAAATGAGCCCATTTTATTTTTGGAACCCACAGAGGCAGCAGCCCGGAGGGGAGTTATTGTGTTGCTTTTAGCAGCTAAACAAAAAGGTGTGAAATCATTTGCTGGCTGTTCTAGAATGGGAAATAAATAAATAAATAAACGGAAAAGGAAGGTTCTGGACGGTGTGTGGCAACTTGGACGGAATCTCGTGACCGCGGCTTCTCCGAGCCTTATTAATAACCAGTGGCTGCAGGAACGTCTGTGCGTTTCTGTCGCCCTCCCGGGAAGTTACTAGAATAGTACGGGAAGCCACTGGGATTTTTTTTTTTAATGATTTATTTTGAAATACTATTTCCATGTTGTTTTAAAAAGGACTTGGGGACGGGATGCGTTTGAGAAAGTGCCTTAAATCCGTTTGTAACATTCCCTGTACCTGGAGGTGAGAAGAAAAAGAAAGGGTTTCCCAGAGCTGGAGACACCCACGGCCTGCTTCCGCGGACAGGTATTGGAGTCTTTACCCCGGGCTTTTAACAATCTCATCACATAGCACTGGTTAGAGACAAAGACCTGGAGCAACAAACATTTCTCAGGAAACTTGAGCTTTCTGCCTCACGCTGGTACCATTCACTGGGAACCATCTCTTGGGTGGAGGCCGGAGGGCCCCAGACACTTCCCTTCTTGGAAGAGAATTATATTTTGAAATGTCTCTTCATGAGCAGGGAGATTTTATTTTCAAATGGCATCTTTGGTGTGGGATTTTCTTTTTTCTTTTTTTTTATAATTATGGAATCTTTTTTAAACTACAGAATATTTAGATGACATAAAAATGCACAGATTTGATAAATGCACATCCTTAATCCCAAGATTTCTATTTGAGCTCTTTTCAAAAGAAACTAACCATTATGGCTGTGCCCTTTGTGTGCCCTGGCTTCTTTCTCCCTTTCTCCCAACAGGCAAACCGCTCTGTAGTCAGTGTGTGCTTCTGCTCTGGGCCTTTCTGAGGCCGACTAAGGAGCCACTTGGCGTGACAAAGGTGGCCTTGGGGGTATCCTGGGCTGCCTGGCTTCAGTAGCCTCTGGACATCACCATGCAGTGGGCAGTCACTGGGCTTGTCTTATTAAGGTGGCTAAGCTTCCTCGTATCCAGCATTTAGGGCAGAATTACAGGAAAGTCAAACACCAGGACAAGACAGATGCTTTTAAAGCACTGTCGAATTGGCTAATTAATTTAGAGAATAGATATTATTCATTGGCCACTTATTGCCAGGGATCGTGCTATGTGTATATATACATGATGAGTCCCAGACAAATGGAAATTAAAATCACTGTAATATTAAAGTTTCTCTTAGGAAAGGAAATCTCTCATGCATGAATTCCATGATAAGCTATGACCTTGAAGACATGGGTAAGAAGAATTAAGAGACAACATAAGTGAGCTGAGCAGGGTTGTGGGTGAAGGAGGAGACAGGAGTGAGAGGGAGGAGAGAAGGAACCGGAAATCTCAGAGTGAGGGAGGAGGGAGAGGAGAGGGGGGGGGACAAAAGGACATGTGGGGAGGTGGCTACAGGGAAGGAAAACAGTCCACGGTGGGCTAGCGGCCGGGGGCTCCAAGAGGGTGCTAAGGGGTTGTCTGACAGTGTCTGCGAGAGAAATCCACTGTTTGCTACCACTGCCTTCCCCCACCCCAGTAAAATGGTCGGTGAAATAGATTTTTCTTTGTCAAGTAAAGTGTGGATTCCATATACATGTGTAAATAGGTATATGCATATGTATGTATATATTCCTACATGTATATATGAATATATAAGTGTATCATGTACATATGCACATATGTATGATACACCCCCCCCCCACATGTATGTAGACATATAGCTACTATATAAAAGACATCAGATAACCTGAAATGAATCAGTGAAAAGCAGAAATTCAGTGCTGGGATGACTGGAAAAACAGCCCCACTGTGTCCCCCTTATACTCTTAAATCTCAGAAGCCTCAGAAGTCCTGGCCAGGTCTCGGCTGTCATTTTGGTTTGGGGACTGTGCCTTGAGAGGCATCTCAAAGCACAGAGGGAGCTAACTTGACATTGGGGTTGAGAGCTGAGCTTGTTTGGTTTTACACAGTAGGTTACAGGATTGAATTGAATATGGAGGTGGATTCCGAAGCCATAATTTATCAGACCTCTACCACAGTAGCCCAAATGGTCTTTTCCTCTTTTCCCTTGTTTACAACTAGCAAACTCCTACTCATCTTTTTAGATTCTATTTAAATGTCACTTTATCTGTGGGACTTCTGACCCCCAGAGAGAGCAATTTTCCTCTTTTGAACTTCCATATCTCTCCAAATATGTGTCAATTACAGCATATATTAGACAACATGACATGATATTGAACCTAAATACACAAAGTAGACCTCATGGTACCACTTTTGAATCCCCACTGCTCAACAAGACATATGGTACCTTTGATGAATAAAACCTGGATACATGAGTAATAAAGAAACTCAGAAGTGGACACAGAGCTTCAGAAAGAGCAGAACTCCAAGCTCCCAACTGGTGGCACCACCCTCCCCCCATAGCTTTGCTTTTAGATGCCATTTATATTGCCCCTTGCTCCTATTTTGAGTAAGAACCTATTGCTCCCCAAAAGTAAAGCATGTAATAGTCATTTGTTTGTTTATTTATTTCCTTTGCTAAGACCAGGATGACGAGGCTGGATTGCACATGGGGCGTGGGCATTAGAAACTAGGAAGTCTCACCCTGCCCGGCCTGTCTGGCTCGAATGCTTGGGCAAGTCACATAGCTCCCATGGGACTCCATTTCCTCACCCAGCGGTAATGACCAGCTTCACAGGGTGGCTGCAAAGCTTAATTAAGGATTGAGAAGGAGGCAGAAAAGACAAAAATATAAAGTGCTTCATACATGCAAAGGATCTTCTTCCTTTATTTATTTCTGGGCTCAGTGACCTGTGGTGGGATGTGTTTATGACTGGAAGAAGAGTCTAGCAAAAAATACAACTGCTATTCTCATTCTAAAATGGCTCACTTGGTGTTGATTGGGAAATGGACTACATATTTCTTTTATTCCAGTACATTGTGTGGCCTCTGTGGCTAACTCTATGCATATAGCTTGCCACCTCTATACCTCAATTTCCTTGACTACAAGGACTTTGTGATTCCTTTATGCTCAGATGTGTTGTGATGTGTTGTGTTTTATCTCAGTCTGTATGTATACCCTCAAACTACACTCAGAAGCGAGGTTTGTGGATGGTGCACCACAGTTTGTGAGCTAACAGAAAGGGGTCGGTTCCCTGAGCCAGAAGACACTGGGGCTTATGGATCTTCACACAAATGACACCCCAGCCCTGCCTGGCTTCACAGACACCCACCTCTCTTCTAAGCACTTGAAGACCTCAGTACTTTCACTGTTTCTATCACAACCAGAGGCTGCAGTTTTGTTGCTGAATTTTTGCTGAACGACTGAGCAAAAGGACAACTGATCTCAAGGTAAGAGTGAGAAGTTCAGAGAGAGACAGAAAAACAAACCAAAACAGTGGGTGGAGCAACAGCCTTGAAAAGCCTTAGTACTACCATCACATTTTTTGTTTTGTTTTTTTAACCACAGAGGGTGTCCCTGCACTAGGGATATTCAGAGACTAAAACTCTTCCAAAGGAGAAAAGAGCCCAGTGCCTGAAACCCCAAACAACTGTCATGTGCAGTGCTGGTTGTTGATAGAGGAATATGGTTCAGAAGGTGTCCATTCTTTACACGGAGGCTCCTCTGTGCGCTTAGCCTGCTGCAGCTGTCTGCACAATCTCTGGCGTCACCCACCCGCCCCAGGCAGCTGGGTGAGACACGTCTCAGGTGAGGAGGAGGGAGAGTGAGGCAGCCATCGCAGATTGCCCAGCCAGGTGTGGCGGTGGCTGTAGAAAGATGTGGGGCCACCGAGGCTTAGATAGGAGGAAGGAGAACACAGGCCAAAGGTGAAGATGGGATGCTGACTCTGATTGGCTAACTGAACGTGAGGCTGACCCAGGGAGGAGGCGGGGGAGAGGGAGAGGAGGCGCTTTTGAGAACATGACAGCATCGCGTTCGTGTGCAAGTGAAGACGAAGGTGCCTTCCAAATACAGTTCTGAGGAAGGTGGGCATGAAGGGGAAATTTGATACACATGCCCCTTTAAATATATACAAACATATTAAAGAAGGCTGGTACTAGTTGAATATGATATATATCCTACTAATTACATCAGCATTAGATGCATTGTTAATACTCTTTCTCCACTTCATTTTAAAAAAATCACTTGAAGAGGATGCAAAAATAACTTTTGGAACTATAACCTCGGGGGCTCATAGATCATTTTTTAGGAAAATGTGGCTATTAAAATGTTGGACAGATTTTTTTTTTCCAGACAAAAGCATTTTAACTGGTCACCCTCTGTCATGCTTAGAGTAAAATTTTCGATAGAAGCACTATTATAGAAAAACGCCCCATGCTATGGATTAAACACAGAAACCAGCTAATCACAACACACGATAGCAAATGTAGCATGTTCAGAGAAGTGCAAATATGTTGAAATGTCTATCATGAAATATGGTCTCAATAATCCTCTGAAAAATAGCCCTTTTGCAAAAAGAAGTTATCATTAAACGTCATGGAGGGTTTTCTGTTTCAAATGGGGTTAATTTTATACACTTTGATGACAACAGAAACAAAAGTCAGTATGGAAACCTCCTTTTAATTCGAAACATCCCCTCTTTTCATGGTGGGAGGGAAGCTTTCAGTGACTTTATATGTGTCTTATATTCAATATGTGGAGGATGGAAACCAGTGCCAGGTAATTCCAACACTTAAGCTGCCTCTTAACCATCCAGCTGTTAAAGGAGTCCAAATGAATCATTAGCTACAAAAGAGAGTTTCTCAATCTACATCCCACTCTAAGGTCAACACTCATCACAGGTACACTTGGCCCTGAGACACCTGTAATCTCAGAAGCAGATATGGCTGCCAAGTTCAAGTTGCCATGACTCTGAACATAGTATAACGTTCCATTCCCAGCCGTCGCTCGTAACTCTTTGCGGCTGTTCAGATGAGGGCCCTTCTTGGTACCACACTGGCTCACACCCACTGGCTACAGTAATGCAGCAGGTGAAGGGCTTAAGTGTCACTGGGTTGGTTTCCAGTTGCTTCCAGGAAAAAAAAAATCCATGGCATATAAGATTCTTGCATCTGACACCTGGCAAATTTCCCCGTGTTCATAGGCCATAGGGGATATCTGACCACGGCTGTCACGGCCTTACGTGCCGCCTCCCACACTTTGAGTGGTCCCGAGACACACAGAAACCTGCGGACGTTAGTGTTTTGGAGACAAGGTATAGAAAAACATTCTATACGTATCTAAAAACTCTGCCAGGCACCTCAGCCCTGACTTGACGCTTCTTAGCTTTTCCAGCTTCAGAACATTCTGTCTTAGGAGTTGTCAGTCAACTTGACATCACACGCTGGCTTTATGGTGTTGATACACATCTACCAGGAAAGAGGCCAAAAACAAGTACTCACTTCCATCGCTGTCTTCTGCCAATGATCTCCCTGCTTTGCCCCTGTGTCGTTCTTGGGCTGTCTGTTTAATATGGACTGGGCATCCGTGGAGCTGAAGTCCCAAGAATATTAAAATAATAAACAATAGTGCTAATCACCAAGAGACGCCTCAAAAAGCAATTGCAGAGCAGACTCAAGTTAACGTGGCCTTTGCATCTTTGGCAATGGAAAGGTCAAAATGCTATTTTGTCATTTTGCATAGTCATGTATGTTGACATTTTCCCCTTGTTGGATCAAATCTTCAATGTGAAAATAGATCTAGCAACTTTCTGTTCACGCTCCTTTTGGTGTGTGTACCAAACTACATACCCTCTGGGAGGTAAGCGCTAGTCATGGTAACCGGCCACATCCTTTATCTGTCGAGTCCTGCGAGTTAGCAGAACTTTATCTTCATGATGAAATGGCCTTTAGAAGTGGGTATTGCCGAGTTCAGAACGCAAGCTGAGAAAAAGCACTTTCCTTTTAAACAGGGAAACCAACACCCATGCACTGCGAGGCCTGCAAAAAGAGTTGAGCTACCACAAAACAAACAAATTATTCAGCTCGGTTTCAGGAAGTTTAGAGAGGATCAGACAAGCCTTTCTCTATTGAAGTTGTTCGAGAACATTTCTGCTTACATCAGCCTTAGTTCCTCTTTACGCGGCGGACTTTTATGCATCGACCTCAGGAGGGCATTCCAACTTCAGGTTACTCACGAAGTATCTTCAGAAAAGGAGGCCTGAAAAATCCCACCCCCAGAGTGGGGGAGGGAGGGAGCGCTCAGACTTGAATTTATTTCCAAGCCACCATTCTGTCCTTGAGGCCAGGATAGCTCAAAAACTGGAGAGAGAAATTCCACAGAGAGAAGGTGAGAACGATTTCTCATCGTGTGAACATGCCTGGGAGGAGAATGCCTTTTCTTGTGGGATGAAACCAGGAGACAGCAGTCTGTTTGTGGAGCCCTGGGTGAAGGGTTCCACTCAGAAGGAGCTTGTGATCTCCTGCTGGGCCCTGGGGGGAGGATTTGGTTCACCGGGAATGTTCAGGCAAATTATCTTCCAGATTGAAGGAGGAAGTATGCCAGCCCATTGCTAACAACAGTCTTGGTTTATGAACCTGTTACTTTTCAATTCTTAGTGTCATTCACACTCACAGCAATGTTTTGGTTCATGTTTTGAATCCCCATTTGAGGGATTAGAAAACTGAGGCTCGGAGATTAAGTCCAAAGTTACACAACACTTAGAAAAGCTAAGATTTAAATCTGGGTCTTTCTGCCTCTAATGCCTGAGCTCTTTCCAGTGTGCCGCCTCTGCTCCTAACTTCATCCTTCCTAACAACCCACAGTATTATTGGTGGGAAGAGAGAGAAACTTCGGGGAATATTGAAGAGTTTTGATTGAGGAGTGGGCATGAGGCAGAGGGAACTGTTATCACTTGGATCATTACTGCTATGTCCCCCTATTTCCATGGAAATAATACAGAGGAAGTTTCCTCTTAAAATCAGTGTGTTGGAACTTAATGGTGAAATTTAAGTCACATCCTACACATGGTGCAGGCTCACATCAGAGCAGCAAGAGATGAGAAAGCTGTAAGCTCCAGAAGTGTCAGGTCTGAGGGACTCACAACCTATATGCACATAAATAAGACGGTGTGGCCTGCCTCGGGAGACATCTCAGTAAGGTTCATCCACACTTCAGCAAGAACAAGTCTTCCAAAACAGTGTTCCTATTTACGTATTTACGTATCTCCCACTAGATACATGCTAGCAATACAAATATCACTTGCCTTACTCCGGAGCTTAGAAAAGGCTTCCTACACATGTTGAACAACTACACTGTTTTCATTATGATATAATAGTATTTAGTTACACAAAATATGCAACTACTCTAAGTATCAGTGTGACTCCCTACCACGTCCTCTTCCCCTGAAACATCAATAGCCTCAAATACACGACAGCTGTCCACTCCAGGAGGCTCCTGGGAGCAGCAGCTTTCTGACCCTCCTCCCACCTCATCTGTTTTCAAGTTGGTACAACATGTCCATGAGGTCGACTATCCCTCCCAGAGTTTCCAACAGCCATTTTAGTCACCTCAATCTGAGAGAGATAAATTTACAATCCACTTTAGGTTTACGTGGGGAACCATAAATATCAGGCTTGAGCCCTGAGGGCTAGAGTTTCATGGGCCATTAAGCATGTCACCAGGTGGAAAGCTGTCAATAGCTGGATGTGAGGTACACGGAAATGATCATTAGACCTGCCGTAAGAAAGGGTAGCCTTGATCAGAGAGGAGTCCTTTCACCCGGCTCCATCACTCCACTTGTCCATTCTTCCTCCCCCCCTTCTTGGCTCGTTCTTGTTAGGTCTTCAGGACTTGGCCCTGTGCTGGATAGCGGGCTGCCTTTCTCTGGCTAGACTGAAGGGCTAGGTGGCCCATGAAAAGAACAGGAGATCTGCAGTGAGGCAGATCTGGACATCAATCCTTTTTCTGCTATTTGTTGCTATGAAATAATGCACACTTGACTTAACCCTTTTTAGCTCAATTTTTTCCAATTGTAAAACTACTAAGATTTTATGTATGGTTTGGTTCATGTTTTTTTATTGCAGGTTTTCTGCCTACACTGGATGCTGGGTGGAGGATCCCAGGAGTAGACGGAGTTTAAACAGGCTATTGCAAATTCCCCTGCAAATCATGAAATTCGGTGAATCTGTGATTTGCCTGTGTCCTCCCAGAAAAGCCAAGATAAATTTGCTCAAAATCCTCAAGGGAGAATAAAAGTAAAATGGCATTATTTTTTTCTCATTTTCATGTTCTTTCTAGAAAACATAACCCTTCCCATGTTTGTTGCCCTCCACTCAGTTAATCACATTTCCACCGAGTGCCCAGAACATACTTAACCATTTTGAAACACTTAACATTTAACATTTAACATAAAGTTTTCATTACTTCCCACTACACAAACAGTTCCATTTTTAGAAAAATCAGAATTCTCCATGCTGCCTCTTGCTCTCGTCCCCGCCATTGTTTCTCTGTTTGGCGAGCTCAGCAGTGCTCTCCCATTCTGCCCTCTTGCTGTTGGGGCCTGTGGCACCTGCCAATTAACGTGATGACAGACTTTGATGCTCACGCAGGTTTCCAACAACAGACCTCACTTCATAATCACCAGAGTTCAGCCACTAAGCCTGATCTGAGTGACACTGACACTGGATTTTTTTTTTTGTTTTACCTGAGATGTTACACTGTCGGCTTTCATTTCTACAGATTATTGAACCACTTTGAAAGTAAATTTTTTAGCTTGCTATGGGAAATGACCTATGAGCTTGCAGACAAATCCCAACTGATTGGGCAAAGCCCAAATCCTTGCTATAGGGCTTGAGTTTGCTTGGAAAATTGGCTGCCACGTGTGAGCCACAGATACATGGTCATCCTCTGGGAGACTGTGCATGGGCGGGTGCGTGTGTATTTGAACATGCCTGGGACAGGGAGCAAATCCCAAGTGTACCTCACAAACAGTATCTTCTGTCTGGCTAAGTGAATATTGGGGGTGGCCTTAAATTGGAGTAGGGCCACAGAAGATGAAGGACATCATGCAACTGGGGGTGAGGAGTTCTAAGACGAGGTTGCCATCCTCACTGGCATCAGAAATGACTGTCATTTCTAACTGCACACTGACCAACCAGGCACTGAGAAAGCAGGTGCTCATGCCCACATGACCTTATTTATTTGGCTAGGAACTATTATCCACATGTTATGGCTGAAGCTCAGCAAAGTTAAGCAGCCTGCCCACAGACACCTTATTCCTAGGTGCTGATAGAGGTGGAAGTTGATCCCAGGATGCTGCCTCTGAGGCCAATGAACTTTTCATGATCCTGTTTTGTTCCTGTGGCTCTTGCTGCAGAATCTGACTGTATCCGCCTCTCTGGCTCTGGTTTAGCCACCCTGTCTCGTGTTTTGCCTATGATACTATACTTTTTGCTATTTGTGGCCAGATTCCTCCCTCTCCCTGTTGGTTCTCTTATTTGCCTAATGTTATAATTCATGTTTCACATACTCTAGGGCATCATTTTTCATGTTTGGATTCTCAAAATTTCACAGGATGTTTGGAACAATTCATATTTCAACAAGAAAGAGCATGAATTCCATCAGCAGACCCCTGACCTTAGCAGCCAACATTTTAGATGAAGAAGTGGCTTCTCTTCCTCTCCCATGAAAGGTGCCTCTTTGCATAGTTGGAATTTCGAATGTGTATCATTGTAACCAAAGAAGCTACTGAATAAAGACTTACTGACCAAAGTTTCTCACAGGCTAAGGACAGAGAGTTATTCTTTCCTTTGCAAATAAAGATCCCAATCTTTTCAAATTGAAATACGGATAATGCAACAGTTCAGATTTATGACCTAGAATGTTTGATGATATAGTTAATGTCCTGTTTTCAAGGTAGAGTTTTATAAGAGGAAGATTTATTTTTAACCTTGACACAATTTGAATTTAACATACATCCTTCCTCCATATTTTATTTTACACATTCATTTCCACAGAAACTATACAGGTGGAATAAAGCATCAAAAACAAACAAGCAGGCCAGCCAGCAAGCAAAAACAAAGCTACTCCATCTCCATCTTCCCCTTGCTCTGCAACTAGAATCAGCACTTTAGGTTAGAACTGTTACTTTGTTGCAGTAGCTGAGAAGTGGTCCTTCTTCCCCCAAGATGCCCAAATTCTATTCCCTGGAACTGGGACTATGTTATTTTAGGTGGCAAAGGGACTTTTCAGATGTAATTAAATTAAGGATTTTGATGTGGGGAGATTATTCTGGATTGTTCTGGTGGGTTCAACGTAATCACAAGGATCCTTATAAGAGGGAGGCGAGAGGGTCAAAGACCAAGAGGTGAAGTGACTATGGAAGCAGAGAGAAGGGAAGATACTATGTTGCTGGCTTTGAAGATGGACAAGAGGCCAGGAGGCAAGGAATACAGGCGGCTCTAGAGCTGGGAAAGCCAGGAAACAGGCTTCCCCTCAAGCCTCTAGAAGGAACTAGCCCAGCCAAACACGCTGATTTTAGCCCAGTGAAATGATTTTGGACCTTGACCTCCAGAACTTCAGGGGAATAAATTTATATTTTTAAAGTCCCATGATTGTGGCACTTTGTTATAGAAGCAACAGGAAACAAACTTACCATTTGTTACATATCCTATGTCTAGTGTGGAGCTTGGCAGATAATATGGGCTCATAAACCAATATTTACTGAAATGATTGAAAATATAACAGAAGGACATTATGAGAAGTATGATGGAAAGTACCAAATTCACAGCAACAGTTTTTTTGGTTTGAAAATTTCCCTATTTCTGAGGATGAGAAGAAAATTTCTTTAAGGCTCAGCTGGGTGTATAGTTACCCAGTTATCCATGATTAAGGCAGCTTTATATTAGCTCTACAGGGTTAGCAAGCTCTTCCCTGGGAACAGGTGGAGGAGACCACAGGGCATGATAAACAGCATTTAGAAACCAATTGCTCAAAGAATAACTACTTAGTGCTTCCAGGGACTCAAAGTACCAGGAAGACTGGGAGGAAGAAAGGCAGCAGCCGTACTATACAATACAACTAGCAAATGCCAGCACCTTGAAGAATGTCTGGTATGTAGCAGGTACTCCATCGGTAAATGGTAGAATGAATGACATTCAGAGCCAGTGGATAAGCATGACCCCTCTACCCCTTCCCAAAGCCGTCTATATAGGAGTCAATTTCTCATGACCTCTCACTTCTCTGCTGCCCATCATTTCAACCAGCTTTTACTCATATACACTAAAGAAGAGCAAAGGAGACAGACACACATACCTCTAACCTCAGACACAGACATACATGCCCATCTACATGCCATGTGTATTTTAGACACAGGAACTGCAGACCACAGCAATATACCTCACCTTTTCTGGAATCCTCTCTCTTGCTCAGTTTTTACAAGTCTTTCAATTTAAAGAAAAATAAATGAAGCCATTCTGGCTAGTTGAAGGATAGATCCCTTAAGGAACTTAACACTTAATGGATACATTAGTGATTTATAGTAATTTCTCATTCAGGATTCTTTTATTTATCATAGAGATAAAAATCAATACCTTCCACCAAACTGGAGACATTTAAATGATTCATTTTTGAGATACAGGAATAGAGAAAATTAATGATATAGACTGAAAATAACTCCAGTTCTCCTAATTCAAGATCTGGTTGACTTTTAGAATATTATTTTAGGAAGGAAGAAGCCTTGCGGATCATCTAGTCCTGCCTCCTGGCTTCAGAGACGAGGAAGACTGAGGCCTAGAGGAATTCCCAGATCAACTGGCCAAGAAACAGCAGACTCAGCCCAGACTGGGGAGTCCTGACACCAGTGCGCACACCCATGTTCCTTGTTTCATAACCTGGTGGGACAAGGAGTCTGAGGCACACACAAAAAATGACACCAATCTTGGCTTCAGGGTATTTGCAGTCTAGCAAGGGATATAACACATGTATATAAAAAATAATGACACAAAGTAAACAGAGATAAACTCTACATGGGAGGTACAGATTTTAAATCACTGGCCTCGGAGAATTTTCTTTTTCGTTTTTCTGCAATAGTCATCAAACTTTTAAAATAGAGAAATTCATCCCTTTTTTTTTTTTTTTAAAGATTCCTTGAAACCAAGTATTTGCACTATAATTTAGTTAAGGCTATCACAACGCATACTGTTTGAGCATCTGATCGGAAACAATGAACAGCTGAGCCAGACCACATACTGCATGTTGGATGAGACCTTCCGGGCAGGTATCTCCCTGTCCGCCCAGGCAAGCCAAACCAAATGAGGCACTGGGTCAAAAAAGAAGGAAGAGTAAAGGATAAATCCATTGGCCACCACCCCAGGAGGCCAAGAGACTCTCTCCTCCCCATTAGTCGTGGCTGGCTCTAAAATAAAAATAACACACTCACGCTGTGATAGAGGAAAGGTCTTGGTTTGGAACCCAACTACAAAGTATTAGCAAAGAGAGATTATTACCCACTAGAGATTCTCTTTTTGGTATAATTAGAAGAATAGAAAGACCATTGAATAGTGGGATGCACGAGAAATATGGGTCAGGTGTCGGCAGCACTGGTTGCTTGCAGAATTGGCTTTGTGGGTTGGCACACAGCACTGTGAATATTAGAAACCACAAATCTCCAGAGTTTCCTGAACAATGTAAAAGTCTCGTCCATGGATTGAGAGCTGGGTGGTCGGCTCCCGAAAGGAGCCCCCGCGTGGCTCCAAAGCTGCCGGTGCATTTCCTGCTTCTCATTCCCTTGCTCGTCCTCCTCCTCACCTCCCCCTCCTTCTCCTCTCATGTTGCATGTGGGCATCTCAGTGGGTCTAACTGCTGTTAGGGTGCTCCTGCCAAACCCCCAGAGAAACAGGCCCTCTCTGTGACAGCGGCCAACTAGGCATTCACATGCACCACTGGACAATGGACAGACCATGTTTCCACAAACAAAACCAAGGGAACCCGATTCTTTTGCCCCCGGAGAACTAGAGGAGTCACTTTCCAGTCACACCACGCTGCATCCAAAGACCCCCCAGAGGAACAAGCCTTCCTGTTTGGACAACAAAGCCAATTCTTGAGCCAGAGGGGGAACCAGGGACCCTTTATTTCTCCTTAGCAGCCATGTACTTCCCTGTTTTCACCTGTCCAACCAGAGGCTCTTCTACAGGTTTATTACTGTAACTTTAAATTAAGTATCTTTTAGAACGTATAATT